AAGCACAACCCCAATGACCTAAAGACCTCCCACTAGGCCCCACCTCTTTTAAAAAATATTTTTCTTTAGTTGTAGATGGACACAATGAATGACTTTATTTATTTTTATTTGGTGCTGAGGATCAAACCCAGTGCCTCACACATGCTAGGCAAGTGCTCTACCATTGAGCTACAATCCCAGCCCTATGTTCTACCACCTCTTGATAATACCAAGCTGGGAATCAAACTTTTAACACATTGGCCTTTTGGGGACACTGAAGATCCAAACTATAGCAGAAAGAATCAGTGGAATAGCATCTAGGAGTATCTATATCCTGGTTCAAGGAAGAAGACCAACTTGCTTTGTTCTGATAACACCTGCATCAGCTTCCTGGGATACTCTGAAATAGGAAGAATTTGATGCTAGAGTGAAATACAACTTTACAAAAGAGCGGGCAAAATCAATATTTCTATGCTGGTTGATATTTTAAATGACATGAAAATAAACCTCGTGGTTCCGCTGTATACCAACAACTCCTATGCCTTTGAATTCCCTGGGGAACTTCTGAATGCAGATTCCTGGGTCCTACTTTGGTGACTTGATTCATTTTGTCTAGGATGGGGCCATGATTCCTCACTTTCAGAAGTTGTCTCTGCTGAGTTTGTTTTTTGTTTGTTTGTTTGTTTGTTTAAGATGGACACAAGGGGCTGGGGATGTGGCTCAAGCAGTAGCGCGCTCGCCTAGCATGCATGCGGCCCGGGTTCAATCCTCAGCACCACATACAAACAAAAGATGTTGTGTCTGCCGAAAAATAAAAAATAAATAAATAAATAAAATAAGATGGACACAATATCTTTATTTATTTATTTTTATGTGGTGCTGAGGATCAAACCCAGTGCCTCACATGTGCAAGACAAGCACTCTACTGCTGAGTTATAATCTCAGCCCCTCTCTGTTGAGTTTTTGTTGTTGTTATTTTGTTTTTGGTTTGGTTTGCGTATTTTTTTTTTAATTGGTGATTGATCCCAGGGCCTGGTGCACACTAGGCAAGTGCTCTATCACTGAGTTACAATCCATTTTACTTTATTTTTGAGATAGAGTCTTGGTATGTTTCCAGACTGCCCTGGAACTATCCATCCTCCTGACTCAGACCACTGAGTAGCTGGGATTACAGGCATGCACTCCTAGGACTTTTCTTTTTCTGTCTTTCTTTTTTTTCCTTCTTAAAATACAATCCTTAGTATCCAAGGGGATTGATTCCAGGACCCTACTGGGATACCAAAACCAAAGATGCTGAAATCCTCTTACTAAATGGCATAGTGCATGATATAACCTATGTACACCCATAAGCTTTAAGTCATCTCTAGATTACTCATAATAACTAATACAATACAAGGAACATGTAAATAGGTGTTATGCTGTATTTTTTAGAGAATAGTAATAAGAAAAAATTCTGTACATGTTCAGTACAAATGCAATTTTCCCCCAAATATTTTGATTTATGGTTGGTTAGAACTGAGATGTGTTTACTTCAGATACAGAGAGCTGCCTGCATGTCCACCAGGTGTCATGTGGCGTCCCACAACCACAGATTCCTCACCTGTTTTAGAGTTCTCTGTCTTATTCCAGATGTGAAAATATTGGTTTGTTCTTGAAAATACAAATAAACGAATGAATAAATAAATAAACTGCAACCCATGCTAATTTTTTTTTCAAATCTTTTTGTTGAAGGAGGATTATGAAAAAAACCAGGCACAGAGGTGCATACCTGTAATCCTAGCTACTCAGGGGTGTGAGGCAGGAGGATGAAGAGTTCAAACCCAGCCTCAGCAATTTAGCTAGGCTCTAAATAACTCAGCGAGGCCCTGTCTCTAAATGAAATATAAAAAAGGGCTGAGGATGTGACTTGATGATTAAGCACTCCTGGATTTAATCCCTAGTATGAAAAAAAGGAGGGGGGAGGAAGGAAAGAAAATAAAGCATCAATAGGTTCAGCAGTGAACTTCACTGTGCAATTAGATGTAGCAGCAATCTTTTTTTTTTTTTTTAAAGAGAGAGTGAGCGAGGAGAGAGAGAGAATTTTTTAATATTTATTTTTCAGTTCTTGGCAGACACAACATCTTTGTTGGTATGTGGTGCTGAGGATCGAACCCGGGTCGCATGCATACCAGGCGAGCGCGCTACCACTTGAGCCACATCTCCAGCCCCTAAGCAATCTTACTATGTGGCTACAAGTTTTTGGGCTTCCTTTTCTCGATTATTTATTTATTTATTTTGTGTGTGTGTGCTGGGAATTGAACCCAGCAGCACTTCACCACTGAGCCACATTCTCAGCCCTTTTTTGAGACAGGGTCTCATCAAGTTGCTTAGGGCCTCAACAAGTTGCCTGGCTTTGTACTTGACATCCTCCTGCCTCAGCCTCCTGAGCTACTGGGATTACAGGTGTGCACCACTGCACCTGGCTCAACTTATTTTTTTTTAAATATTTATTTTTTAGTTGTGGTTGCACACAATACCTCTATTTATATATGGTGCTGAGGATTGAACCCAGGGCCTCGCACATGCTAGGTGAATGTTCTACCACTGAGCCACAACCCCAGCCCCAATTTATTTTGGGGGATACAAATAGCTTTTGGGTATGTTTGCTAAGAAAACTGCTCAATTCAGAAGACAATTGTGTTTTGTAATTGTTATAGTGTCTTCTCTATTTTTTGCCTTATTTTCATAAGCTGGGAAAACAGAGATATTAGACTGTTTAAAGCTGAACACCCTGTGGCTTTATTTGTAATGCCAAAACTATTTAAAACTTATTTTATTGGTGTATAATCTTTTATGATCTAAAAAATAAATAAGTGTGTGTGTGTGTGTGTGTGTGTGTGTGTGTGTGTGTGTGTGTGTCTTGGGAGTATTGGGGATTTCACACATGCTAGGCAGTTGCTCTACCACTGAGCTACATCCCCAGCAACTATATTTTTTAATCAGATTACCCTTAATATACATTATGCTTCAGATCTAATAAATCAAGATTCCAGCAGGAAAGGGCACTAGAAATTTTTAATTGTATGTATTTTACTCCTCACTCCACCTCTCCCCTGCCCAGATTTCTTTTTTTTTAATTGAATAAAGTTAAAATTTTAATTGAGATATAATGCACATAAAATTCTTCTTCTTCTTTTTTTTTTTTTTGGTACCAGGGATTGAATTCAGGGGGACTGGATCACTGAGCCATATCCCCAGCCATATTTTGTATTTTTTTTTTAGAGACAGGGTCTCACTGAGTTGCTTAGCGCCTTACTTTTGCTGAGGCTGGCTTTGAACTCGCCATCCTCCTGCCTTAGCCTCCTGAGCCGCTGGGATTACAGCTAAAATTCTCCATTTTAAAGTGTAGAAATCCAGTAGTTTGTAGTGTATTTACTGTATTGTGCAACTGTCAATATCTAACTTGAGTATCCTCCAAAGCAACCCTTACCTGTTAGCATTCAAGGTCTCTCTGCCTCCCTTTCCCCTGGAAACCTCACTACCTTCTGTCTCTGAGTTTGCCTCTGGACATTTCATAGGAGTGGAACCATAGCATGGTCTTTTGTGTCTGCTACCTTGGCTTGTATGGTTCCTCTGTGTTGTTGTGTGAAATAGTACTTTTATCTGTTTTCAGGGCTGATTCCATTGTGTGGATAGATCACTATTGTTTATCCATTGGTCAATAGGTCAACATTTCCTCATTTCATTGTTTATTTAAATCACTTTTTGTTTTAGGATTTGGAAAATTTTTCTCGTTATTTTCTTCCCCTGTGGCTTAAACATGTCCAGATTTACTTTTTCTAGTCTCTAGCCCAGTGATGTCCAAATTTCTTTTTGTAGGTGACTTGAACAGCAAAACTTCTGTAAACCGTGTACAGCATACATGAACTCCTTTATTGTAGTCACCATTAAACCCCAACAGAGAATGTTCTTACTGTTGGTGTGATCTTAGAGGCATCCTATTTAATTCATAATGAATAATTAAAGCCAGAATAAATATGAACAATGCTGTATTGTAAGTAGACTCACTGGGCGAGGCTGAGCTTTGGACCTAGAGTAGCCACCTCTCTGGTCTGCTTGCACTGAAGGCCACGTTGGCTTCAACAACCTGCTGTTTCCACAGTGTCTATGCTGGATTCCCCCAATGGCAGTGGAGGAAAGTGGCAGGCAGGCAAACTGGCTGGGGCAGCACCCTTCCCCAGATGCTACTTGATTTTCTTTCCTTCAGATACCTGCGGGTCTGCAGCCCCTTGGTGAATACTGCTCTCAGGAAAAGATCTGGTATCAGTCACTTGCTATATGTGGGGAAGCTCTTTATATCTGTTCAAAAATCTTCATCATTGGACACCTGTAATCCCGGCGACTCAGGAGACTGAGGCAGGAGAGTTGCAAATTTGAGGCCAGCCTCAACAATTTAGTGAGGCCCTGAATCTACTTAGTGAGACCCTGTCTCAAAATTTAAAAAGGTCTGGGGATGTGGCCCAGTGATTAAGTGCCCTGAGTTCAATCCCTGGTATAAAAATTCAAAACAAAACTTCATCTATTTCAGAGAAGCATTTGACATTTTATGACTTGAAGTCACTTTTAGAAAGAAAAATAGCAGGGGCTAGGGTTATGGCTCAGAGGTAGAATGCTCGCTTAGCATATGCGAGGCCCTGGGTTCGATCCTCTCAGCACCACATTAAAAAAATAAAGGTATTGTGTCCAACTACAACTAAAAAATAAATATTAAAAAAAAAAAGGAAAGAGGGGCTGGGGATGTGGCTCAAGCGGTAGCGCGCTCACCTGGCATGCGTGTGGCCCGGGTTCGATCCTCAGCACCACGTACAAACAAAGATGTTGTGTCCGCCAAATACTAAAATAAATAAATAAGGAAAGAAAGAAAATTGCATATTGAGAGATCAGACTGGAACTTTAAGCCAAGTGGGTAACACTTTAAGGAACTGTAAAATAATAATTTTTTTCCTCTTTAAATCTAACAGTGGCAGTCTGTAGCAATTAAGTTTTCCATGAGCTTTTGAAACGGGGACAGAAGCATTTCATATGAGATTTCCATCTCCCTCTTTTTCTCCATCAGTGTTAAAGGTAATTAGGGGAAGGCTCTCCCCCTTCTTAACCTCACCTAAGCCCTCTAATAAATGTGATGTCAAGGCTCAAAAAGAACCTTTGAGTCAAGAAAAGATTTTACAGGGTTCACTTTAGCAAGAAGATATAGGATTAGATTAGGACTTGACTAATAAATAGGCTATAAATGTTAGAATTTTTAAGATATTTAACATTTTTCTCCAGTTTTTTAAGACAGTTTTAAAGAAATGTTCAAACATACAAAAATATATGAGCTCTTATATACCCATCCTCTAACTTCAAAGTTTTTTGTAACATTTTAAGTCTAATTAAAATTATTAGTAATAATTAAGCCCATCTGGCTAATAGGAAGTTCTGTTTTTATGGAAATCGATTGAGTGGGAAAATATGTGATTAGCATTCATTCATTCATTCATTCTCCCCCTTGGTAAGCATTCTGAATCACAAAGCCAGATTGTCTAGGAATAAATAAAGAATGCTGGGTAGTGCAAACATCTTCTAAAACATTTTTTTTTTTTTGAACTGGGGATTGAACCCAAAGGTGCTTTACCACTGAGACATATCCCCAGCCCTTTTTAATTTTATTTATTTATTTATTTTTGGGTGGGGGCAGTGCCAGAGATTGAATTCAGGGCACTGGGCCACTAAGCCACATCCCCAGCCCTATTATTTTTTAAAAAATTACTTATTTTATTCATTTTAGTTGTTGATGGACCTTTATTTTTTATTTATTTGTGGTACTGAGAATCGAATCCAGTGTCTCACACATTCAAGGCAAGCGCTCTACCACTGAGCCACAACCCCAGCCCCTTGTATTTTTTTTAATTTAGAGACAGGGTCTTACCAAGTTACTTAGCGCCTTGCTATTGCTGAGGCTGGCTTTGAACTCTCGATCTTCCTGCCTCAGCCTCCTGAGCCACTGGAATTACAGGTGGGCGCCACCATGCCCGACTATTTTTCTTTTTCTATTTTGAGGCAGGGTCTTCCTAAATTGCTGAGGCTGGTCTTGAATTTGTAACCCTCCTGCCTTCTGAATCTCTGGGATTACAGGCCTGTGTCACTGCTCCTGGCTAAGACTTTTGATTTACCATATTTAAGATTCCAGACCAGCCTCCAGACAGTTTGTTTTGGTACATAAAAGAAGTGCCTAAGAATTTTCATGTCTGCCAGGGTTTCCAGGTTAATGGAACAGATCCCTAGTGGACTCTACTTTGAGAAATGGCTCCATCATCTAGACTATAAATGATCGTAATGTTTGTAGCAGTAGTTTAAGTCACAGAGCAAATTAGGCTAGGTTTGTCACCTAATTAATGGTTGTCAATCATCAGAGGCAAAAAAGGAAAAGTCAAATTTTAATGGAAGCAGCTTCTTCCATAGTTCTGGATTCACAGGTGTTGGTATACTGATTGCTGAGTGTGCAAGGGCTTCTGTGCCCTCCTGACTTCCAGCCTCTGAAATCCACTTGAACTTGCTCTCAGAAAATAGCATCAGTTGTTTGTCAGGAGCCTGTGGTTTTAGTACTAGAAGTTATTACTACCCGATGGGAAGCTAGTTCATTCAGCACCATGTGTTTGGAGGTTAAGTGCTTCTTGTGGTCTTAATCTTGAAGTTCATATGTGGTTCTCTGTGCATTTAGACAGTGAGCTTTCTTTTGGAAAAGCTCTGCTTCCTGAGATGAGTAGAGAAACTGTTCCCTTGGAGGGAGATGAGAACCTGGTTATAGCCTGATGGTGACCCAAGCACAGTCCTGGTACTCTCCCAGAGAACAGAGGCTCAGCCTTACTCATCTTTGAGTTCCCAGAGCACTGTGTACACATAGCCTGGCCCTAGTCATGATGCTGGTGATGAGGGTGTCAGCTTGAAGGAAGAGGGTAGGTGGAAAGTCCTCACTCACATGGAACAGAGCTTGGTCTGTGTGGAGCCAGAGTGCAGCCCATGGAGAGCAAGGAGCAGGGGTGTAGAGTGGCTGCTCCCTTGCTGTCCCATGTGGCCCTCTGCCAGAAGAGGACAAAAGGGCACTGTCTGTGGGCCCACTACATTGGGAGGCTCCAGAAGTCTCATCTATGCCAAGCATTATGAGAGGGACAGAGAGTTCCTTCCTGTCCCTGAGAGGCCTTTCAGGGCTCTCCTGCATCATAGGATGGGTGAGCCCTAGAGCCTGGCTTCTTCCAAGAACTGGGCTTAGTTACAACACAGATCTATTCCAGAATGTACGATGCTCCAGAGTTTCTGAGTAAGGGGACATCTGAACTCATGGGCAGGCCATAGCTTCATCCCCTCTCCAAACCCATCCAATTTGGTAAAGCTGACTGTCCCAGTCCTAGTTGTTCAGCTCAGGGCTCCCTGCCTCCTGTTTTCTAGTGTACAGCCCATGTTCACTTATTTCTTTGTCTTTTCCTCTCTGACCTTCCCAAGAGTTATGTGCAGGTCTTAAAGCTCCACCCTTTGATTTCTTGGAGGCAGAGGTGGCCAGGCCAGAACATTGGGCAGCTACTTTGTCACCTGATATGTATGCCAGCATGGGAGAGGGTAGAAGTCTTGGAAACTTGAAAAAGGAATTGGGAGAGGGATTCCTTGGAAGTTTCCTGGAAAAGGAACATGAGTCCCCAGTCTCTCAGTGCTCCTTGGACTGTAGTCAAGAAGGTAGCTCCTGTCCATCAGGAGAGACTGGCTCTGAGGTATTTGTGCTTTCCAGAAACTCATAACTCATCTTACTGCCTTTCTCTGGTGGATGTCATCTTTCTCGCCACCTCTATCGGAGTAATGTCTACCTGTGTTGGAGTCAAGAGACTTGCTGTAGAAATCAGCAAGTCAGTTACTTGAGTTTATTTAGTGTAAGACACCTCTTCTTTGGCTTCCACTTGGTCTTTTTTTTATTTTTAGGATTGCTAAGATGACCTCCTAGTTTTCCTTGGACAAGACAGATGACTAGTGACCAGGGGTTTCTCCTTCTTGGTTGAGAGCTGCTGGGAGACACTCTCCTGGTGGGACTCCATGGACAAGGCGGGTGTGGGTTTACATGAACCATCAGGCCAGAAGAGTAGAGTAGCCCAGTGGAGAGATTTCCATTTTGGTGTGGGCTTTATTTATACTCTTCTTTGGGGACTGTTAGCTCATCACAGTGGTTCTTAGCACCTAGTTGTGTTATATTTAAATTTGGCTTTCTAAGGTTCCAGTCATCCCACAGGTTTCACTTTCCATGGTTTTAGTCACCCACCCGGTCAACCATGGTCCCAAAATCTAGTAAGTGCAGTGAGATATTTTGAGAGAGAGACGGTATTCATATAAATTTTATTATAACATATTGTTCTCTTTTATTATTAGTTATTGTTTGTAATATCTCACTGTGCCTAATTTTAAATTAAACTTTATGTAGGTAAAAGAAAAAACTGTTTACATAGAGTTCTCTAGTAACTGTAGTTTTAGGCATCAACTGGGGGTTTTAGAACATATCCCCCTTGGATATGGGGAGGCTACTATGTTTTCCTAAATTTGTTGATGACATTGGCTAAAAGATGCATATAAGGAGGTTGGTAGGGGATCTGAGACTGGGTAGTCTCAACATTGTTTCTCCTGGGGTGGGAATTTTGAACGGCACATGCCTCTTGTCCCCACTCCTGGGTGGAATCTGTCAGGGATAAATAGTGTGGAGTGTGGGCCAGAGATCTGCTTCCCTGGGAGGGTGGCCTGGCTGGCAGGGCTCACTGAGTGTGCATCCCTGTTCCCCCAGGCCACCTGGAGCTCCTCTCATTGCTGACATGATGACAGTGTGCAGGCCAGCCAAGGGCAGCCAGAGCCAGACTGCAAACCTGAGCTACAGATTGGCTGACAAGTAAGAACCACCATCTCACACCCCCCCAACTGAGAGCTTGCTCTTGGTCTCCTTCCTTTTTCCACCACCTTTCCTCCTCACTGACCCCGCTTCCTTGAGCTGAGTAGGTTCAGTTAAATCCAAAGAGCGCTTCTGACAAACCATGCTGTGTTCCTTCTCAGAGTCCAGCTAGGGCCTCAGTGACTGACAAGTCACTCCAGGTGAGCCTCCCATAAATCATCTCCCTGCACTGCACTCAAGACTCAGACCAGGGGCTGGGATTCTGGCTCAAGGGTAGAGCGCTTGCCTAGCATGCATGAGGCACTGGGTTCTATTCTCAGCACCACATACAAATAAATAAATAAGACTCAGACCCAAGCCAAGTGGTCAAGAGAAGTCTGACTGGTGCCCGGTATGTTGTGGTGACTTCAGAACATGACACTTCAGGCCAGGGGTTATTTTTCTGAGTACTAGGATGTGGAAGTATTTCACTTATCTTTGAACCCTAAATCTTTGCAGCTGTGTCTTCCCCATCTTATATCAGCATATTGGTTTCCTACTCCCAGAGCTTTTTCTCTGATACTCTGGCACATTCTGCAAAGCATTTGGCAATCACTGAGCTGGTCACAGCTTGCACCACAGACCCAAGCCCATTTGGGGATAGCAGAATCCTGAAAACAGGAACTCTAGAAACTCTTTTTTTTTTTTTTTTTTTAAGATAGAGTGAGAGAGGAGAGAGAAAGAGAATTTTTTTTTAATATTTATTTTTTAGTTCTTGGCGGACACAACATCTTTCTTTGTATGTGGTGCTGAGGATCGAACCCGGGCCGCATGCATGCCAGGTGAGCGCGCTACCGCTTGAGCCACATACCCAGCCCTCTAGAAACTCTTTTGAGTGTAACAACCACATGAAAAAGGCACTGTCTTTAGGGACACTTGAAATGGTTTCATCACCTTTGCCTGCTTTGCTTGAGCTTAATAAATTCAAAGAGCGCTTCTGACAAACCATGCTGTGTTCCTTCTCAGAGTCCAGCGAGGGCCTCAGTGACTGACAAGTCACTCCAGGTGTTTGGGATCTTATATAACAAATGGAATGATTATAATGATACAGTTGCCACTATTGATATCAAGATTTATAATGTCTACTGTACTCTGGGAACATTGTGTATATTAACTTAGCCATTCATTTATTCATTCATTGACTGAATACATATTTACTGATTGCCTGCTATGTACCAGGAACAGTAAACAAGATCAGTTTGGCCTCTGAAGTCAGAAAGTTCCAATCTAGAGAAAGGAGATAGGATTCTTTTTTTTTTTTTTTGGTACTCTGGGGGTTGAACCCAGGGGCACTTAACCACTGAGCCACATTCCTGGTCCTTTTTATATTTTATTTTGAGACAGGGTTTTACTAAGTTGCTTAGGGTCTCGTTAGGTTGCTGGGGCAGTCTTTGAACTTTTCTTTCTTTCTTTTTCTTTTTTTTGTAATATATTTTTAAAAAATGTTTTCTAGTTGTAGACGTACACATTACCTTTCCTTTATTTATTTATTTTTATGTGGTGCTGAGGATTGAACCCAGTGCTCACATGTGCTAGGCAAGCATATTACCCCTGAGCTACAACCCCAGCCCAAGGCTTGGAACTTTTAAACCTCCTGCCTCCCAAGGTGCTAGGATTACAGGCTTGTACCACTATGCCCTGCAGAACTCTATTTTAAGAATAAAAAAAAATGGAGCAAAACTGAAACCTAAATTCTACTGACTATAAAACCCATGTATTTATCTACTGTTCAATATTGCTCAGTAGCACATGATGGTTATATATTCTATCATCACTTGTCGCCAAGCATGCACTAACCCTAATTGTGTTTTTGTGTGTCTGTCCTCTCATTACATCTTGCTTCTGGCATCATTAGAGCAGGGATTCTGCCTTTTGAGCTCTCAGTAAAATAGCAATGGTCTGATTGTGATTCTAAAATCTGAATTCATGTTAATGTCATTAGTGTTGACAGGACAATTTAAAATGTTTTTCTCTTTTGTAAGCACTCTGTTATGAATACTAATTGTTTATTTAAATAAGGAATTCTGCTTTCATATCCATGGAAAATGTGTTTGCATTTTCACAAGTTTCTAATTTATGCTGTGTAACCAAGAACACCAGCATAATTTATATGCCAGTATCTCCATTGAGGGACAAGTTTTTACATAAACAACTGTTAGTCTTTGGAATGAACAGTTATAGTAACAGCCTGTATGAAACTGCTGACTATTCATCCCTTACTGTGAAACTTCATGGAGTCTCAGGATCCCTATACAGTCAGATTTATGTATATTTAGAAAATGTGCCATGAGGCTGGTCCATGAATGTTCACTAATTTCAGCATTTCTAAGATCACTGTGTTTGGTTTTGTAACCTTTGCTGGTGGAAGAATGTTTTGTATTTCAAAACACATATATTCTGAGATGAGTTTAAAAATGTTTTTCTTTCAAAATATTTTCTAGCATCTTCATGGCACTATCTAATCTCCTCAAATCACACTTGGAGGTTTATATCCCCATGTGTATGACTAGGGGATAGTCAATGTCTGCCATTGTGGAGATGTTCATTCTTCTGCTCTGCCCACTACAGAGCCATTAGCTGCACGGGGCTACTGAGAGTACTTGACTTGTGGCTGATGCAACTAAGGGACAGAATTTAATTTAATTGGATTTAAGTTTAAATATCCACATGTGGCTAGTGGCGAGTATACTGGACAGTGCATTTCTAGGCCATGTGTAAAATTCAGATCTGCCTATTTATGCAGACATTCGTTTAAGTAGCAGATATTTATTGGCTACCTGCTGTACCAGTGTTGTTTTAGGTACCAGGGGAGCAGCAGTAGCAAAAACAGGCCTAAACAACAAAGCATTTTCACTGCCCTTGGTGAAAGTTCACCCCAGTAGTGCTCACAGTCTATAGGGGGCTCATTCCAAGTACACCCAACTCATCATGGCTTTACCCACTCAACTCAGGATAGTTATCAAGCCCGGAATTAGCAAAGCTTTGTGACTTATTATTCAATTTTTGGGTACTTGGGAATGGAACAGGGGCACTTAACCACTGAGCCATATCCCCAGTCATTTTATTTTTATTTCTATTTTTTTGGGTATCGATTGAACTCAGGGGCGCTCATGAGCCACATCCC